AACTATAGCAGCAAAACTCCATACAGACTGTTCTACCAGAACTCCCTTAATAATATTATAGTATTACCCAGATTATCATTATAAAAGAATACTTGAACTAGGAGGCAGTCATCAGAACAGAGCAAGGGAACACTACATGGTTCAAAATCAGGAAAGGGGTGTGTCATGGATGTGTCCTGTCTCCATACCTTTTCAATTTATATGTGAAACAGATCATTCAGGAGGCTGGGCTGTATGAGGAAGAATGTGGCAACAGGATTGGAGGAAGACTCTTCAAAAGCCTGCATTGTGCTTGATGACACAGCCTTACTTGCTGAAACTGAGGAGGACCTGAAGCATGCTGCAGAAGGTTGAGGATTGTAGTCTACAATATGATTTGAAGCTCAATATTAAGAAAGCCAGGATTCTCACCATTGGGCAGATTGGCAGCACCATGATAGATGGAGAAGAGATTGAAATTGTTAATTACAGCTTGCTTGGTTCCACAGTCAACACTCTTGGCTCCAGGGGTCAAGAAATCAAAAGATGAATTGCATTAGGAAAGTCTGCTGTCAAGGCTGCTGCGTAGTCATAAAGAGCAATGATGTCAGTCTAGAGACTAAGTTGCTCCTGATCCAAGCCACGGTCTTTGCAGTTACTTTCTATGAATAAGAAAGCTGAACAATGAATAAAGATGACAGAAGAAGAAGAAAACTAACAGGTCTGCCCTGGAGAGGGTGAAACCAGGCTGCTCCTTAAAGGCAAGGATTTTGAGACTCCTGGCATGTTACCAGAAGCAACCAGTCCCTGGAGGAGAACATCATGCTTGGAAGGATGGGGGCACAGTACAAAAGAGGAAGACCCCAGGAAAGATGGATTGATGCAGTAACTGAGGTAGTGAGGGTAGGTTGTCGGAGACAGTGAGATTGGCTCAAGATAGAGCAGTGTTCAGAGCTATTGTGCATAGAGTCACTATGTATCAGGGTCAACTTGACAGCACATAACAACAACATGTGAGAAGAGCATTGTTCAAAAATACTGTGATTTGGTGGCTTAGTGATTAAGGTGTTACACTGCCAACCTAGAGGAAAGCAGTTTGAATCCACCAGCTTGTCTGTGGGGGAAAGACTCTACTGTAAATAATAACAACTCAAATAAAATGTTCAGCCATACAACTAGAACCTTGTTTTGTTGACTGTAGTTGTTATTTGAAAATTGCTTAGATAATCTTCAGATGCAGTAGTGTAAAGTTCATGTGTATGTAGCACTGATGAGTATATGACATTCATTTGTTTATTAATGTGATAACTCTGGACTCTTTAGAGTTTTGAGAGATCGGTTACACATGATGGCTTTTTAAAGTTGTTTCATGTTTCATTCACTATGTCACCTCCACCCTCAGCCCCATTTAGAGGTAATTTATACTCTGTACCTCTAACAAACAGATTTACCGTCCATCCATAGCCCAGTGCTTATACAAAATTACTTCTGCCTTTAGTCTTATAGCATCTCCTACTTTCCAAAGTTACTCATATCAGCAAACTTCCCCCAGCCCTTTCATTGAGATTGTTTCATGTGTTTGTCCTACAGCTAGATTTTTAATTACAGTGTTTCTTCCTGAGATACCCTCCTCCTGCTCAAATCCTCTGCATCTAAATATATTCTTTTTAATTTGCATACAGTAAAATTTACTCTGTCATCTAAAGTTTTGACAGATGAGCATTTTATGTAGCCATATTAACAGTATCACTCTAAACAGCCTTAAACACCACCTGTAGTTTAACTTTCTCACTTCTGCCCCTAAAGCCACTTGCATCCTCTGGCCTTTTCACTGTTGCTTAGTTTCACATTCTCCACAGTGCCACGTAGTTGGAATCTTACAGGGCCTCTTTCACTTAAAAATATGCCTTTAAGGTTCTCTATATCATTTGTGATATATTTCATTGTATGACGTACTGTAGTCTACCTAACCATTTACTTTTTGAAGAACAACTTGTTTGCTTCCAGTATTTGTCAATTACAGATACAGCCTTATAAGTGTTCCTGTTGCGGTTTTTATGTGCACTCCAAATGTTTAAAACAATTGGGTAAATACTTTGGAGCATGATAACTCTTTAGACTTCAGCATAGTGGGTTTTTTTGTATTTTAGTAATTCTAGTAGGTGTGGAGTAGCTGACATAATATTTTTACTTTTGAGTATATTATCAGAAAGTACCAGTCCCTGGGGAAGGATATCATGCTTAGAAAAGGGTCAGTGAGAGAGAAGAGGATTCTTAATGAGGTGAATTGGCACAGCTTATGTGACAAGGATTTAGTTCAGCAGACATTGTGAGGATAGTGCAAGACTGTACAGGGCTTCCAGATATAGTGAGGGTTCCTTTGTGGTTCTTGTTGTTAGGTGCCATTAATTCGACTCTGACTTGTAACGACCCTGTGAACAACAGATCTGAACCTTGTCCCATCTTCATGGTCTCTGTCACGCTCAAGGGTATTGCAGTAATAACTGTGTCTATCCATTTCATTGAGGGTCTTCCTCTCCTTCACCAACCCTCTGCCTTTCCCAGCATGTTGTCTCTCTAAGGACTGATTATTCCCCAAAATATGCCAAAAGTAAGATGAAATTTCACCATCTTTGGCTAAGGCAAGGATGCTATCTTTGGGTAGGGTTGTTATAAGTAGGAGCCAATTTGGAGAAACCTAATAACACCTTCATAATTTATATCAGACTGTGGAAACATACATCTTGCTGGGATCCACAGTTAACATCCTTGGAACCAGCAGTCAGGAAATAAGGAGACACATTGCACTGGGAAAATCTGCAGTCAAAGATCTCTCCAAATTATTGAGGAGTAATGATGTCAGTTTGAAGGGTGTCTGATTGAAGCTATGGTCTTTATAATCACTTGCCATATGTCTAAGAGCTGGACAATGAATAAGGATGACAGAAAAATAATTGACACCTTTGAGCTGTGGTGTTGAAGAAGAGCACAGAACATCCCATGGATAGCCAAGAGAACAAACAGATATGTCTTGGAGAGAGTGCAGCCAGAGTGCTCTTTGGAGGCAAGAATGATGAGGCTTTGCTTCACATACTTTGGGCATGTTGCTAGGAGAGGCTATTCCTTGGAGAAGGACATGATGCTGGGAAGGGTGGAAGGTCAGCAAAGGAGAGGAAGACATTCTACCAGGTAGATTGACACAGTGACTGCTCCAGTGGGCTCTTGTGTGTTGGGAAGTGTGAGAATGGCACAGGATAGAATAGGGTTCAGATCTTTTATTTATAGAGTCACTATGTGATGACTCAAGTTTACCCAGCAACAGTGGAAGCATTAACTCATTCCTTCTGTTTCTTTTTAAAATAACATAAAATCATGTATGTATACATTTTATTGTACAAGTAACCATTACAGGTCTTTAAATAGCCTTTCACTTATTACTTAAGTAAAATTACCTGTTCTCTTTGCTTTCTTGCTACTAATAGCTTATAAACTACACCCCATTAAGTGTTAAGCTGCACTCCATTGGTGTTAATGTCTCACCTTTTAATTGCTTTTATTTTTTTAATTGCTTTTATTTTTCTAATTCTAATTTTCCATTCTTAAGAGTCATTTTTTGGTTTTTTTGGTTTGTTTTAATTTCTTTGTTCATAAAGCTTTTCTGTTTCTGTTACATTATGTAGTTTTGTACCAATGGCTAGAAGCAGATCGTCATGGCAAGAGCCAAGATGCTGCAAATACGACTTCAGGTAAAAAAAAAAAAGAAAAAGAAAAGAAATGAGGTATTAGAGATCATTATTTTAATTCATTCAAAGCCCATTGTGAATGTATATTTATTTCGTTTTACTTGAAAAACTTAGAGGTATTGTATTTCTGTTCATAAGGACTTCATTTGCTTCAACCTTGAAAATATAATACCCTAGTGTTCAAGCTCTCTTGGCAGATATGTCAGCTTTTCTCATGAGGAATGGTTTCATTGTAGCTTTAAATTTTGGAAGAAGTTATTTGCCCACATTATTTGGAATTAAGCCCCTTTGTGTCATTTTAGCAGCAAATAGTAATATTTACACAGATTCATAATACTTTTTAATTTCAAGTTGATGAGTTTTAATTAAAAGACTCTCAGTTTCATATCCATGTCCTTTGACCAAGTCACTGCCAAGTTCTTAGACCTTGTCATTTCTTCTGCTGGGTCTTAGCAGTGAGAGCAGTCTTGGTTTAGTGGTAGAATCCTCACCTTCCAGAAGAGAGACAGATTCCGCTTCTGTTCCTGGCCAGGGTGCCGCGATGCAACTGTCACCTGTGTGTCAGTAGTGACTTGTGATGCTGATCAGTTTTCCTGGAGCTTCCAGATGAAGCCAGACTAGGAAGAAAAGCCTAGCAATCTATTTCTGAAAATCAACCAATGAAATCCCTTTATGGGAGAAAATAACCGTAAAGATTGATTGCTTGCTCAGCAACTCAGCCGCACTAACAGCAGTTTTAGCAGTAAATTGTAAAGTAGATGCTTGGAAAACATGAATCTAAGAAGAGAATAGGTGATTTCCCCCTTCTGCCATCCCAAAAAGCCATCCCCAAGATTTTCTTCCTTGGCTATATTCTAAATAACTGCATCCATTGTTTTTAAGTTCTAAACAGTAAAATCAGAATTATTGGTTCTTCCCCTAATTTTCTTAAAGATAATATTTGCCAAGACAGCTATCTATACATTGCCTATCTCTGTATATGTGTGTGTATCTATATCTGTAATATGATCTTTCCTGCTGCCCTACTTTTGTGGTATTCTAATCAGAAACGGAGTGATGGTCAAGGTCGTGGTGGTGACGATGATTTTGTTTTGTTAGATTTGTGTTGCTCACTTTTCGTGGGTTTTGTTTTGATGAAATCCTTTCTCTGGAGATGGTTTTCCTTTTTTTTCTGCTTGATTCTTTGCACCTCAAGAGATTGTGGTGTTCTTTAATAAAAAAAAAAAACCAATTAAAAAAGCACTGTCTTTTCTCATTTATGTCTTGTCACATTAATAATTTTATTTATGATTCAGACAATAAAACTGTTTAAATCATATACAGGTAAGAATTCATGAAAAGGTAAGTATGATAGTGTCTTATGTCCTGAGTCATGTGATGTTTCTTCTACTTCCGAAGTGTTTGTTAAAGCACATTATTTTTTACATTTTTTTATTTTATTTTTTTTAATAATTTTAATGAACATTTACAGAGAATTTGGATTTCCATTCATGTTAAAGCAGATTTTTATGGTATTTGAGGGTGGATGAAGAAGCAAGTTTCTTGATGGTCATATACTATATGAGGATACCTTTTTGCTGTTTAAATAGCATTTTGGTAACATAGAACCCTGTCAGCAGGAAAACATTTTTATATTTTATTCTTCATCTAACCTGAAGTGAGAATTAACTTTTGTTTAAGGTAAAAGTAAATAAACATTTATAATATTTATTTTAAGAAAACCTAAATATTGACCTAGGAACTCGATTTACCTTTCCTGAAATCAACCATTCTGAGCCCCTACTCTGTGTTCCTCAGTCACATTGACCCTCAGAGACAGTTGTGTGTTTTTCCATTGATTCTCTGCTATTTATATGAGCTAGGATCATAGTGCAAAAGTTGATAAACTTTTCTTAATGACCCCTTCGGCCATTTCTCTTATAAAGATGAAGCATGTTGATTACATATCTTATAAAATAGTATAATGATTATAGAGACGAAGTTATTGGCCTAAACAAGGATTCCAAAGGAAAATGGCTGTTAACCAAGAACAAACAAATCTGCCTTGGAGGAGGTGCAGTCAGTGTGCGCCTTAGAGGCAAGGACGCTGAGACTTCCTCTCACATGCTTTGGGGACGTTGTCAGGAGTGGCTAGTTCTTGGAGCAAGATGTCGTGCTAGGAAAACGTGGAAGGTCATCAAAAGAGGAAGATTCCAGCAAGATGGATTGACAAGTGACTGTAACAATGAGCTTGAACTTACAAGAGATCATGATGATGGCTCAGGATAAGGCAAGGTTCAGATCTCTTGTTCCCGGATTGCTATGAATGATATTTGACTAGATGGCACCTAACAATAATAGTAGCAGTAGCAGCATTAGTTTTGTCACTGTATATGCTTAAATTATGTGCTCTTATCTAACAAGGCTCCAGGGACTTCTTTTATTGCAATCTCCAACAAAAATTTGAAAATGTGAAGCTTTTTCTCTCCCTCTGTGATCTGTTGTTAGGTTTTGCATGTAGAGGAGTTTCAGTGTCTTATCTTTTCATACTTATGCCCCAAATTGGAAATGTCACAGTGTGACTCCAAATCATATTGCTTTATATTTTTCTTGTAGTGACAGTTATCTTTTCCATATAACTTGCACTGTTGTATTTAATTAAAAGTAGAAAGAAGAAAAAAAAAACAGAATAAAATAATTCTAAGATCTTGTTATTTAACATCAACTTTTTTTCTTTAGGAGCTTAAGAACTTTCTATATTAAATATTTTATGAAATGAAGATACTTGGAAACAGTAATGCTTATGGGAATTAATTTGGTCTATTAGAGTATGAAGCTGAGAGCTACTATTGAATTTTCTCATGTATAATAATCAAGTATATAGCTTACTTTAATCATTCCAGGATTTTAACAGTTAATATCTTTTCAAAAGTTAGTATGTTTATTATGGTCTGTTAGACAAGGCTACTTAGTAATGATGGTTTTTACATATAAAAGCCTGGAGATACAATCACATCTATCAGAGATGCTTGTGGAAACTCAAGCAAAATTTCTTCTTTTAGCACTTTATCATCAGATCTGACCATAAAAATTCAGAATCATAAGAATTATGATAAGTTTAAGGTAGTTCAGTGTGTTTTATGTATTTCTATAGAGTATGAAGGGAGTGGGTTAGTGGTAAGGAATTGCGCTTTCAATGCAAAGGTAAGTGGTTCAAATCTACCAGCTGTTCTGGGGGAGAAAGATTGGCAGTCCTCTCCCCCGTGATTTACTGCCTCTGAAAACCTACTGGAGGGTCAGCAATGGGTTAGTTCTGACTGTGCAGTACACAACAACAGCAACATGTAGTTGTGAGGATTTGAGGGTTTTTTTCCTTAAATCACTACATATTAAAATAAGGACAGTAATTAGGCAACAGTCAGGCGTATATTCACATATCTTGATTTTTATTATCACCTTTATAGCTAGAATTTTAAAATTCCATTCTGAGATTTTAAATGAGGATTGCTTGTTAATGGTTCTTTTTTAGTTAGTTGTACATTAGGAATTTTAAAACTCAGATTGTTTGAGGTAGAAACTGAATCAGATTTCACCATTATTTGCCAATGCGTCTGTAAAATGAAAATCAAGCTATGACATGCTTTCTTAGAAAGTCTAGATATTAACTAATTATTTATTATTTGTTGTAGGTGAAAATTTTGACCAGAGCCCTCTGAGAAGAACATTTAAATCCAAAGTTCTTGCCCATTATCCTCAGAATATAGAATGGAATCCTTTTGATCAAGATGCAGTGAACATGGTATGCTTATTTTTGCTTTCTTCTCCATCCTTTACACTTTTCTTATACTGTGTTAGAACAATGATATCAACTGTATTTTGAGGGTCAACGTTACCTCATTTCATTTAGTACTTTATGCAACTCTTTAAGGGATTGTCTTCATTTTATAGATTTGGAAACAGAAAATCAACTTATTACTTTGGATGGTTTTCTTAGCGGAGATGATTTTCCTTCATCTTCCTCTAGTGGATTCATTGTCCTGTAAGAGGATGTGGGGTTCTTTAGTTAATAAAACATTTACATTGAAAATAGCACTGAGTCTCACAGCTAATAATAAATGTCTACAGCAGATCCTTAAATGCCAGCAGGGTCCCACATGGTGGACACGCTTCAGTCGAGCTCCCAGATTTAGACACCAAGAAGGAGGATTGACCGTCCACTTCTGAAATAACAAGCCTTTTAAAAACTCTATGAATAGTAGAGGAATATGGGTCTGTAGTATTAGAGGTAGAGCTCAGATTGGAGGCCACTAAGAAATGAGAAAAAACAGCTGCAAACATTATTAATAATTGGAATGTGAAGTGTACAAAGTACAAATACAGGAAAACTGGAAGTCACTGCTACAATGATTTATTGTAGAGATTTTAGATTGATGTGATGAGTTACTAGTGGTGATTAAAATTCTTTTTTAGAAACTCTTAAAAATAAGATAGGCCATAGTATTAGATCATTTATCATTTCAGAAGGATCTTTCTTAGAAGCTGGTATGGTATTTAGGACCCCCATCCTAATTACATAAATCAGAGAGCCTGAGTGAGCAAGTTCCTCTTCAAGCATGTTGGTTTTGTTGTTAGGTGCCATCAAGTCCGTTCTGACTCCCAGTGACCCCATATGAACAAAAGATCTGAACTTGATCCTGTCTCACGCCGTCCTCATCATTTCAGATGTGCTCCAGTCCACTGTTACAATGGCTGTGTGAATCTATCCTGTTGAGGGTCATCTTGTCTTTCTGTGATCCTCCACCCTTCCCAGCTTTGATGTCCTTTTCCAAGGACAGGCCCCTCTGACAGCATAGCCAAAGTATGTGAGAGGAGGTAGCACCGTCCTTGCCTTGAAGGAGTACCTTGGTTGCATTTCCTCCAAGATATACTTGTTTGTTCTTTTGAAAATTTATGGGATATTCTGTATTTTTCTCCAGCACCACAATTCAAAGGCATTGATTTTTCTTCCTTTGTCTTATTCATTGTATAACTTTTAGATGCTTAGGAACTAATTGAAAAGACCATTGCTTGGATCAGGTACACTTCAGTCTTTAAAGTGAAAGCTTTCCTCTTTAACCCTTTGGAGAGGTCTTTGGTGAGAATCAGGCATTATTGGCACAGAGATGTCTATAGATAGATTAAAATACTGTAATCAGTGTAGTTTTGTTTGGTTTTAATGAAAACATTCTCAGTGGACCACTTTAAAAAGTAGAGCCAAAAGGAATGAACATAAATTACTATTTGGTAGGTGCCTACTGTGTACTTTATGTGTATTATTTTTATATACATGCTTATATGTACCTAGTGAAAATTCATACATTTTACTAAGATTAATAGCTTGCCTGATATTATACAGTAAGATTTAGAGCTTAAATTGTAATTATTTTTCCTCTCTAGCTAGCATTTCTTTGACTACATTGTTACCATAAGGTGAGATACATTTGCCAGTGATGGTAAAGATGATGCAGGATAGGGCAGGGTTCAGGTCCATTGTTCATAAGGTCACCATGAGTTGTAAAGGACCCATTGACACCTAACAATTACAACAACCAAATGGACAAACAAATCTGTCCTGGAGAACATACACCCAGGATGTTTATTAAAGGCAAGGATGTTTCGCCTTTCTCTAACTTACTTTGGGAGGAGCCAGTCTTGGCAAAACAATATCATCCTGGGAAGGGCCCAAGAAAGAAAAGAAGACCCTCAATAAGGTAGATTGACAAGTTCACTGTTACAGCTGGTTTGAGTATACGAGGAAGCATGTGAATGGCACAGGACAGGGCAATGATCAGATCTGGTTTTGATTGGTCTCTATGAGTCTTGGTCAACTAGATGGCACCTAAGAACAAGTTAGATGGTGAGTCCTTGAGACATGCCCCAGAGGACTCCTATTCATGGCTGCTCTCAAGGTCGTAAAGGTCACTCTCACCTCTGTATATACTTATCACCTAAAAGCTCTTTCAGACAACTCAAGTCAAGCATTGTTTGTAACCCTAAGAGTCATTAGGAAGGAATATCAGGGACTGCCTGTGTTAGCTGAGTTTCAGTCTGTTTGTGATCTTGATCCTTGTAGTAATTTGCAGCTGGTCTTCCTGATCTGAATTATTTTAAAAAGAAAAATACTTAGCTAAAAACAAAAATAAAAACAATTCCATTTTAGGGGAGCTCAGGTGGCCTAGCAGCAAGAAGCTGCAACTACAGTCCCAGAGGTGCACGGTTCGAATCCACCAGATGCTCTGCCGGGGAAGGAGGGGCAATCTCCTCCTGTACCAGTCAGATCTGATTTGACGGTACACGCACACAAAAATAATAAAATAAAATGGAAAAAAAAAACAATTCCATTTTAAAAAGATATAAAGAATAACAAGTTATAGAAGAAAAACTCAAAATTTAAAAAAAAATGGCTGACATGGAACCATTTCAGGAAGTGGCATAAAATCAAGAACCAGTGGTAACAAAGGAAGATGTTTTGCCCCTTTATTCTATGTTTTAGTTACAGGGTTGAGTTATTGAGTAAATAATTGTACTCTTTCACTTTTATTTCCAAAAAATGGAATTAAAAAACTCGAGTAAAAAAAAAAGCCAATTCTTTTTGATACAATGACTGTATCACCTCTATCTTCTTTTGATTCTTCCTGGATCAGTCAAGATTTTGCCCATAGCATCTCTCAATACCTCATCTCAAAGCTTGAATTTCTTTTTCAGTTCTTTCAGCTTGAGAAATTCTAAGTGAGTTCTTACCTTTTGATTTCTTAACTCTACCTCTTTGTGCATTTTGTTATAATTATTTGCTTAACTTTTCTTGAGCTGCCCTTTGAAATCTTCTGTTTAATCTCTTTTACTTCAGCATTTCTTCCCATTGTTTTGGTTTCTTTACTTTCTAATGAAATTTTTAGAGTCTCTTTTGACATCTGTTGTTTTTCTTCTTTCTCTTCCTTTTGCTTTCTTCATATATGATATTGTTACTGTCTTCTTACGACTCATCTTCAATTATTAGTGTTCAATCCTTTCATCCTATTCATGACATGTTTTTTAAATTCAGGAGGGATATACTCAAGGTTGTATTTTGATTCTTGTAGACTTAACTTTCAGTATGGACTGAGGCTCAATGTCAAGAAGACAAAGATTCTCACCACTGAACCAATTGGCAGCGTCAGGATGGATGGTGAAGAGATTGAGATTGTTCACAGCTTCAGTTTGCTCGGCTCCACAGTCAACACTCTTGGCACCAGCAGTCAGGAAATCAAAAAGTGTATCATGATGGGAAAGTCTGCTGTTAGGGACCTCTCTAAAGTACTCAGGAGCAACGGTTTCTCTCTGGAGACTAAGGTGCGCCTGATACAGGCCATGGTCTTTGCAATCGCTTGTTTTGCATCAGAGAGTTGGACAATGACTAGGGAGGACAGAAGGAGAGTGGATGCTTTTGAGCTGTGGTGCTGGAGAAGGGTACTGAATGTACCCTGGACTGCCAGGAAAACAAACAGATTCATCTTGGAGAGGATTAAACCAAGCTGCTCCTTGGAGGCAAGGATTCTGGGGCTTCGTCTGACATACTTTGGACATGTTGCCAGGAGGGACGGGTCCTTGGAGAGGGACATCATGCTTGGGAGGGTGGAGGGACAGCGCAGGAGGGGAAGACCCTCTATGAGATGGATTGATTCGGTGACTGGGGCAATTGGGATGGGTGTGTCAGAGGCAGTGCGGTTGGCGCAGGATAGAGCAGGGTTTAGAGCTGTTGTGCATAGGGTCGCTATGAGTCCTAAACGACTTGACGGCACATAACAACAACAACAGGCTTAACTTTGATTCTTCATCTTCACACTTCACACTTCATCTTCAGGCTTCACAAGTTTGATCTTGCACATAAGTAATTTTAATGATTTTCTCAGACCAGTCAGCACCTGGTCTGGTTTTGACTGCTGATATTAGGCTTCTCCAATGATTCTTTAGAAGGATGGAGTTACTCTGAGTCCTGTGTAGTTCATCAGGTGAGGTCTATGTGTATAGTCACCATTTGTGTGTGTTTTTTAAAGGTATTTGCAATGAGTAAATCATTGATTATACAAAATTCATTCGGTCTCCAGCCTCATTTCTTTTACCAAGTCCATCATTTCCAACTACCAGTCCTTTTTTTTTGTTTCCAGTGTTGGCATTCTAGGCTATTATTATTAGTAGTAGTAGTATTAATGCATCTTGATTTCATGTTCTTTCAGTTTCAGACTGTGTTAATGTAAAAAGGAAACCCCTATTCCCAAATGGGATTACATCCATAGATAGAGAGATTAGGATTCTGACACATGTTTTTATGGTATATAGTTTAGTCCATGAGCAGTACAACTCACTAGAGGCTGAGTCTAGACCTCCCTGTAAGAAGGGATTGTTAGCATGGCAATTTTTATAAAAACAAATGCTATGGAGCTTGAGACTTTAAACTGGATTCTTTGTAGCATAAGACATAATTTTTCCCTATTGTTACCCTAAACAAAAATAATCTGAGATTCCATTTTGCTGGAAGTTAGTACTGATAGCACCTTTAGTGAGAACATACCAGTAAAAAGTTATCTTTATGAAATATGGAGGCACCCTGACAAGTTTTACACTAAAATAGTCAATGAACGGCAGTGACAAAAATAGTTTCTCACTTGCTTAAGCCAGAAAATTAATAGCAAGGTTTTAGAGAAAAGAGAGCATATAAATGAAGCAATGGAAAATGGAATACGAAAATAATGGATTATAACACTTAATCTTCTTAAATTAGTA